ATCACGGATCTCTGGTCGAGGTTGGACTCTGTATGTCGTCTCATTTTCTTAGAAATGATTTCTTCTTTATAGCTCACCAAATTTTAGCACGAAGGATCACCAAGCCTGTTCTCCTCGCTAATGTCTGATGTAACTCGTCTTGTGACCCCGCTCCCTCCAGTGATAGCTCCTGTTTCAGACGGCCCTCCCATGCATCGACATACACCTTTGATCTTGGCCCTGTCTGATATCGAAAGTATTTTTGGCACAACTAAAGTTCAAGATATTGCAACAAGCAGAAAAATCGCATACTATGTCATGCATGTGAAGCGCGCCCCAAGTGATATTCTCGCGTCCATTGTGAAGGAACTCAAGATTCGCGAACACGCCTTCCGCGAGGAATTGACTAACACTAATGAAATTGTGAGGGAAGGAGTAATTTTAACAAAAGGTTAGAACAGAGTATTTAGATAAACATTCTATTCCATAAAGTTAGATCTATCTATGTTGTAATGCTCCATACGCCGTTCCTGTTCACCTTCGTTTTAGGGAGAAAAAATGCTCCACGAACGGCAAGAACCTGGAGGAGCCCAATCAAAACGAAGACAAAGTATCCGCTAAATAGGTGGCGTTCAATTGAGACCGCAAAGAGAGATGTTGATGTTGGGGGAGCTATAGCCCTCCCAATGACCGCCTACGAAACACCGTGCTCTGAGTTACAGAGATGAAATGAAGTGTACCGGCACTCACAAAAGTTTGACCCAGTCCTTGAATAGTCCCAAGTGTTATCGGGGTTGGAGCGACCTCGACGAGGTACCATTGAAGCGAAGCTTTTCAGTCTTGTCAATTATCACTTAACATCCTCATAACTCATGTGCTGCTCACCATAACCAGAAAACACACTCGTTTGTGCTATGAGCTGAGCTATTAGTACGACCCAGCCAATCCCTCCAAACTCTCCTCGTCGTTTTGTAACCCAATGTTCTAGTGGATAGAGAGAGATAGTGATGACACTTCCAATCATTGCAACAATCCCTAGTGTACGTGGTCCGAACCTCTTGAAGACGCGAGGAATAATGAGCATTTGGAAAAGAGCATTAGGGAGACCGAATATGCTATTGATTGTGCCAATTCGGAGTGCGGTGAATCCGAGCCCACCATTTTCTAGTCACGATCTTTAGAACCCAGTGAGGACTGTCGCCTGAACGGGACATACCGATGCTGGTAGACCAGAAAAGAGGCTGCAATGCAAGCATCGACATGTCGACGAACGCGAGAGCTCCATAGTTGATCAGGACAGAGGCGACTGCCGGGATTTTGAACATATCCCAGGCAGACGGAGGTTCGGCATCATCGTCGTCATCCCTGATGGACGGTGCAACCGAAGAACTGGTAATATCAGCAACTGCTTCTCCGATTCAACCCGTGAAAGCCTTTTGCGTTTCTTGAGGATGCTTGGCGCGGTCTAAGTTATGACTTCAATATGGATTAACGGCACCTGTGTTGTAGCATGAGATTACCTCTTCAAGACCAATCCAGGTAAAAAGAAAGGCCAAGAAACAAATAGCAGCGGCCAGGGCGCACTGGTAAAAAGAAGGGATTCTCTCTAAAGAAAGTAATCTTTCCAAACGTATTGGGCCAGTGGTCAGCCGGGAACGAGAACACTCCTCCAATGAGAGGACCAATGAGCATCCCTGAAATAAATATCAGTGACTAGCTCAAGCTTATGGAACATCAAAACCGGGCTGACCTGTAGACCACATAGGTGGGATGAGTGCAATGACGCTCGCTCGATTCGAGGAGTCGGTGATTTCTCCCATGACTGTCTTAGTTCTACACGGAGAAACTGTGAGGAATGAAACATGCAAAAGCGAGGAGACTTAACACCCCAATATCGCCATTAAATGCACCCTAAGACTCCCATTTCAGAAAACCAGTGCCAAAGTCTAGAGACGGAGAGAAAAACAGCACACCTGAAAACCTCGAGCGACAACAAGTAACCAAAAGACTTGAGATGCTCCAAACGCCAGCATTGCACCTGCAAGACCAAGTGGTGCAATCAGAAGCAATGGTCGTCTGCCATATCTATCCGACAGTCTTTGCCAGCCCAAGGCAGTTGCCGCTTCAGTGATGAAAAAGATGCTTTCCTAGACAGAGGATATTTACTCCAACATCGAGAGGGTCTAGAAAAAGGGCTTACAATAATTCCGGCGTAGTAACCTGTAGCAGACTCTTTCCCTCTAGTCACACCAGTTTTTCGCACAAACTGGTTCACAAAACTAACATACGTTTAAACATCACTGACAACCTAAAAGGGCATGCACATACGGGTAAATCACCGTGGAGGTGATAGGTTCCGCAATCTGAATGGATAGAATAATAGCAGTTTGAAGAACAGGAATAGAGGTAATAGTTTTTCCAGAATCCTCTGAATCGTTTTTGGGAAGTAGAGGGGTTGCCTCCGAAGCGTCGATTCCCTCTGCTATGGCAGCAGCAGACATATCTTCGCAGGTAGTAGCCATGGGGGAGTCAGGACGAAAGAGATGAACTTGAGTTTACCAATCGTATCTGAAAACCTTTAAGGAACCAGAACCACACGATTCGGAGGTTACTATCACTCCGGAAAGTGACTCAGTCTTGGAATGCAGCCTGAGGACCTAATTTGCTTATTAAGAGCCCGAGATGTAAACGGGCGAACGTGACTCTGCCACTCTGGCGAGGCGATGGATGTCAGAACAAAGTCGGCTCAGCCACGTACGACGTCGAATTTCGCGAAATCCCTCTACCACCCCTTTTATAGTACTCGTTGCCGTTGATCCTAGGGCTGAAGACGCCGTCCGATGCAATGCGGGCTGGGATCAGACGGCACCGGTATCCCGCACTGAACGTTCAGTCAAATCATGGAGAACGAGTGAGAAACAGCGTGAAGGCCACCGCAATTTAGATCCCTGTATGGAGAACTAAGCTGGTTCAACCAAATCAATCTAATCTACGTACATGCATGAACACGATAACGATTTTCGTCAATATTTTAGTCTCTTGGTTTTTCGTAATATGTACAGTCAGCAGCTGTCTTGTCAACTGTCGTGGAACTAAAAGAAGGAAAATGTCGAAAGCTTCTATATCATAGCCATAGTTATGTACATTTAGAGGCGCAGAAGTGCAATATTTCTTATGCATCCAGTCACAGTCTCTAAACGTTCCCACCCAGATCTTCAATTTTCAACTGCTTCAACCTCACCCAGCTCGGAAGACCAAAGTTTCCAGGCAATAAATCCCACAGCCTATCACTAGCTCTTCGGTGGAGCTCACGGTCCCGCGCGACACACCGGCTGCAAACTTTGGTAGAATATGCATCCCAAAAATGGTCCCCCCACAAGTAGAAAGGTGAGATTCGACCAGCGCCTTCTTCAACTGCAGTTGAAGCTATGAGCTTCTGCAATGTGGAAAGCCAAGTATAACGAGCGATAGAACATTGCTCGACATGCTCACAGTCCGCCTGCCAGGAGTTGGGGCTCCCGGGATCTTCATCCTGCATGAGAAAACGTGTCATTTCGAAACAGCTGTGAGAATAATTGTCGAGCGCTTTGAGGCAACCACGTCGTTGACTTTCAGTTAGTCCAAGTTGGGCAGAGTCGAAGAGATCATTGAATGGGAGCTGGAATGTGAGTTTGTGCAGTCCTATGGGTAGAGCCCAGAGAGCATCAACGTCGTGAGCAAGAGTAGTAAGTGATACTCGGTCTTCAGTTGTCATTTCAAAGGTCCATTCGTCAGCTTCACGAAGCGTTAACGATGAGAGTGATGTTGGGAAAGCAGTGGCAAGATGTCTGAGAGCTCTTTGACGTAGACTAGAAGTATGCATGGGTTAGAGGGGGGGCTGGGGCAATATGGTAAACTGACTGTTGAACATCATATTTGTGAGCGAGACGAAGAACTCCCGTGAGAATTTTCACAGAGGTTCGATACGGTACAGGCTCAAAGTATCTAATACAATGGGTTAGTCCTCTCGCTCCACTTGAATGCTCGCAACTTACGAGCCTTCAAACAGGGATCTTAGAAAGATTTCAACCTCAGCAGGGTCATCTTGTAAGACCACTACAGGACACCCATCCATGCGACTGCCAGTATGTGGTACACTTAGGAGATCGCGAAATACGGGGGACTGGGAGGTCAATATGCCACGATATATCTTGAAGAGCTTGTTCTGCGACCGTAGGATAAGGTTCCCATCTGGAAAAAACAGTGGTTGAATAGCCTCAAGGGTTTCTGGTGGTGACGGGGATGGCGACGAAGTGGTGGTCGTGAATGAAGCAGGCATTAGTAGTGGTGGAAGGAAAAGAAATTTGGCTGCTGGCGGTTGGTGATGCGGTCATCTGCTCGGCGGCTGTTGATATATTGATGGGTGAGAATGAGAATGTAGATCGTCAAGAAATGTGCTGAACATCTTTGAAAATCGCGACGATAGAGCAGGACAGGTAGGTGACGTGATTCGGGAAGGAATGAAGGCTCGGGCAAAGAGAGCACCGGCGCTTTTTCGCAGGCTCATTAAAAATAAGAAGAGGCTAAGTAACTCATGGCACTCTCCTTTCATGTCTTTTCTCCTAGCTCCGTTTTATGGCGGAGTAGAGCTTCTTTAGCATCGAGAAAGGTGAAACAGATTGACTTCTGATTCGTTAAGCCAGTGATTGGTCTCGCAGTCTTCCCAGAACTGAACTGAACTTGTGCATAAGTGCTCGCAAGGCAGAATTTTGTGTATGACTTCCCAACAAGAACGAATACGTGATGTCCTTTGGACAGCGTGAAATACTCCGATACTTGACAATCTGTTCAAGGTGTTTAAACAAACCCATTCAGGGCTCCCTATTCATGAAGAAATCAAGCCTATACCTATGCAAAAGTTGAAACGAGCAAGAAAACCAGGAAGATAGTTGTTCCAGAACATCTGGATCCGATTTTATGATATCTAATGACTAAAATGGGCGACCACCCATGATAATCGGCACGGAAGCATTGCTCTTCAAGCCCGGTTAGCTCAGTTGGTCAGAGCATTGTGCTAATATCATAATCAGATACAAACGCAAGGGTCGCAGGTTCGAGCCCTGCATTGGGCAATATTTTTTGATAATTGGGAAGGTGGAAGTTTTGCTCATCGTTACTCCTACTGTTCTCAACTTATTTTTTGTCTGACTCATTTGTCAGCGAGTTTATCTCAGTCAAGGCATTTACCTTTCGTGTACGTACCTACAGGAAACTGGGCGTTATACTGAGGATAAAAGATGTGAAGGATGCTCTGAGTGGCCTTTAATATTGTGAAAATCTAACAAATCATGAATGATAGCATTAAATCTATATATTTCTGAGCGCACATGACTGGCATAAAAAATCAGCCAAGATCTTACTTAGCTCTAAAAACATTCTGCAGTTCATAGAAGAGCTACATTGTGAAAGGGAGCTAGTAAGAGTCGATCCTCTACTAGAGTCCACAACCCCCTGCGGCTTCCAGAGATCGATTCAAATGGTACTACATCATACAATGAATCCAGAACGGACTCATTGTTCAAATTGTACTCACAGCAATCGGAGTTGGACGGTCGCAAAGTACCCAATGGCTACGAGCGACTCGGATCGAATCGGAATTTCGCACTCCAATAGTCGCTGGGTATAGGTATTCCACATTCTTATGAATTAAAAGCGAGGTTTTTTCTTTTCTTTTCTCCTACTTTTCATGCGGTCTTTGGCGGGAGTCACCAGCAATTACTTGTATGAGCGGTGGTCTATATCGACTTCTGGAGGCTGCTGCCAATGACACGGAATCTGGGAGTGGGCGTCATATACCTCAATATACTTACCGCAGCCGTGTGTAGAGATTATTTTAGGCAGTGAAGATGTCAAGCATGAAAAACCTCGAGCAGAGCCCAGGCAGAACGAGGTTGATAGACGAAAGAAGAGGATACTTTGGATGATATGGCATATCACCAAAAATATTGAGTACGAGGTATTCAAATGAATTCGTAAACTGTGTGAGATTAGTGACTCGTACAGAAAGTTTTACGATGGCAGTAGAGTAAGGTGCTTAATTCGGAACCAGTCCAAACCTACCTCCCACCATAGCATTTGATGATGTGGAATCCGGGATGACAGGGTCTGGCTTAGAGAGGTCCTAGCAATGCGCTAGTAGCTGATCATCCCTAGCACAACTTGCTGTTCTTGAAGTTAAAACAAGGGACACAAAACAATCATTTCATATCTCAATATCATCAACTCTCCCAGATCCATATTCTCCTATACCATTTACGCCAGCTAATGCCTCCTCTGCTTCCTCCGCAAAGGTGTCGTCAATTTCTCCATCCGCGTCCCGTGTGTGATTGGCAACATAGTTCGGGTCGTTCATTTCCACCAGTAACCCTTCTCGCTCCTCTAGCTCATCCGCTTCCATCTCCACATGTTTGAACTGAATGATCTCCCAGCGTTCTTCCGAGTCCGCATCAAATGCCTGTCGAAAGTTGAACCATTATACACAAGTGTGAAGGAAAATACTAACGCCTTGGCGTTTCTTCTTAAGAGTCATCTTTCGTTCAATATCCTTCCAATAAGCTCCTTTTGTCCGACTGGATTCGCCCATGGCCATCATCCAGAACAAGGATAATTTCTTTTTTCACTTCACTCTCGATGTTGATAGGCTCGTAATCACGAACAAATTTGAGTATGATTTGCTAGAGATATATTAGCACTTCTCTTCATGCATACACCTAACAAAACGTTACCTCGGATGCAGCCTCATACGGTTGAACGCTTGCTCGTGCCGACTTGAGTCGGTCCGCAGACTCATCGTCTTCAGGAAGGTAATAAGATAAGAAGGTTTCATGTTCTGTCTTCAACGGTCGCAGTAGAGCACTGTCCAATCGCGGGTCATCCTCCTGTCAAAAATGTCAGTATACTAAGCGACCTAGATAAGAGAGAACTTGCATCCACAGAACGTTCTCCAGGCCGCTCTGAAAACCTCACAAGATCGTATTGGTTCGACCAGATATCCAAGTCTGGCAAGATCTCGAAAGACTCGACGGCGGTGACATTGGGATTAGTTGGGTGGGTCAGGATCGAAAGGTCAAAGTTGTCGTTGTTTTCTACAAATGAAGCTTCAATATCACGAATTTGTAGCGTCCCTTGAAACATCGACAGTCAAATATCGGTTGTAATGTTCTGAGTCTTCAGTTAGAACGCAAGAAATATAATTGGGAGCATTGAAGAAAAAAAAACGTACGAGTCGGCAGAGGCGGACTTAGTGGATACCTCTCGACTCAAATACTCTGTTTTTCGCAGCCAGGAAACGTGAGCTGGAGCGACATGAGCATTGGACGAAGGTCCAGCCGTAGGTGGGCCAGTAGCGAGCGTTGCAACTCCGCCGAGGTCTTCAAGTAGAAAGAGGTCCTTAGGATCAATATTTGGAAGATTATCTGGATCAGGATTTAATTCTTATAATTCTGTGAGTCAGTCTAAAGAATTCATGAAGTGAGAAGCACAAGAAGAAGAACGTTACCTGAATCGTCTGCTTCGTCGTCCCAGAGACAGTCCCAGTGCGATAAATCAAGGGGCATTCCACATTCAGCATCAATGACCATAGGAATGGGCGCGTCATCGGCAATAGCATCGAGAAATTCAGGTCTGGTGTAACGGTTGGGGTTTGTCGGGATGTTCAACAATTTAGGTGGACACGGTGGAGGAGGGATGGGATTCGCGTAGCGCACGCGCACAAGCAAGTCTAGTTTACTATAACGAATAAGCATCAAATATGTAGATAAATATTCACGAGACTTACCTTTTTTTGACTCCACTCATGGTGGTCACGGTTTGAGGCCAAGTGAGCGCTAAACCAGCATCCCCCTCTTGCAAGAGTCCACAAGCTCACTATAGCGATACAGCTTATCATACAATATTCCTCCAGACCAATTCTGGCGAATAATAATCCTCATGACCTGGTTTTGGCCCTTTTACTGAGTAAATACGAGTATACAAATTTCTATAAAGCTGCATCAGTTCCTGACTTGTGACGCTTTTTGTCAGGTTCGCTGCCCTCTGTAACATCTTGTTCATGTTTGCCAGTCCGAGCTTGCTGGAGAGCCTGTTCGACTCTTAGTCGTGCAGCTTTCTTCTTTCCAGTCCGATCAGGATTGTTGGTTTCTGATGGATCTTCGTACTCCTCGTTAGACTTGGGCATTGAGACCAAAGAGTTATAGAGGTCTAAGGATTTGAGATCCGCTTCCGTAGCTTAAGACAACGTCAGAATGTTTCAAAGTTGTGAAAAGATTGCCCACCAACTATACATGAAGCGTTGAGGGTCTCGAGCAAGGAGTGTGAAGATTCCTCAAGTGACAACTAAATCACCTGTCACGAGCATTTTTTGAATTGCAAGGAATATCGCTCACCTTGCTGTCCGTGAGTATTATTCTTACAACCGCGGGTGAGTTTGATGAAACGGATTCATAGTTGGTATCGACCGTCACATAGATAGTTGCCTTGTCTGCAACAATAAAATCGAGTATTGGATAGTTCAAAGAAATATGGTGAACGTCGCCAGAGTTCTGACCGGTAGGATAAGGCATATAAAATAACGATGTTGACCTAACGGATGAGTCTGGAGGGAACACTGAAGGTGATGGAAATAGACATACCCAACAACAGTAACCAGAATTGTATCGTCTAGCGTCGCAATCTGGTTCACACAAAACACGAACGTATCGTCGTCTTCTGGGGCTTTCATGTCGATATCTTGCAAAGGTGTAGACTCCGGGGTGTCACCTGGAACAGGCTGGGCATTTGCCTTTTTCTTCCTCCCTTTCCTGGAATGTGAACCTTGTCCATCGTTTGGTCTCTGTTTTACAGGCCGAGCTTTGACCGTTGGTTTTGCAACCGAGAGAATCTCCACCTCGTATTTTGTAACACCGGTTCTCCAGTCCCAAATTTTGAGAACAGGATCACCACCTCCAGATATTAACTCTCCTGGTCTATTTGAGGGTACGTGAAGAGCGGACACGAACCTTGGAATGGGAATGAGCTGTCGGCTAATGCACTTGAGAAATACGAGGCAACCTACTGCTGATGGCCCAGACAATACATTTCGATATTGTAGCCCTTGGGAAAGCGGCTGACGCGTATATGCTCGTCACGGTCAGAAGTGATGATAAATTTCTCATCATGACTGAGGATAGCAGAAGTTAACAGCGAGGTGTGGCCAAGGATTAGTTGACCACCGGCGGGGTTCATTTCTCCAAATACATTTGTTTTATTCTTCTTAACTGGTTCAGAATCTGACGGGGACAGAGGGTAACTTATTTGGGAGACAATTAAATTGGGCAATAAAAAGCAAATAATGTGGAGACTGACCTGAAGACATCTCCGAACTTGTCAGCTGTGACGATGGTTTGACCATCTTTTGTGAATATTAATGACGTGGGGCGCTTAGGTAGTTCTCTAGAATGGTTTACTAAGTAAATCTCGTCATCAAAGAACGAACGAACCGGGAACTCAAAAGTTTCAATCCATCCAAGCTCCATACTTTCAGGACCTTATCCTCTCCACATGTCATCAAATGTGATTCAAGTGGATCTATAACTGCTAATTTTATGGGCCCAGATTTAAGAAGAACGGCAAGTCCGGTTTCGTCTAAGGATGTAGTTGAATGTAACAAAACGCCGGAGCTGGCAGCAGCGGTTGAGCAGAGAATGTTTGGCGTCCAAATAGAACAGAAAAATTACACAGTGTTATAAACTTGGATATGAGGCCCAGAAGTTGTCACAGTGTATTGGGGTCCAGTCAAAACTTTCGAGTATGGGTAGTTCATGGTCATAGTGCGGAGCAAGTTTGGTATTCTCGAACGGATTTTCTGTCGTTGTTTCTGCCCGTCATCTCTACAACAATAATGGCCCGTCCTCTCACGACTCGTCCATTTGACCTGGTGTACTTCATATTCTTTGTCTTCCATTTCCCAGCGTCATTATTGGTGGACTTCCAAACCATTGCGCCGCAAAATTTGATACCTTCTCCTCTCAAACAACTCCCTCTATTGTACATAAACCAATCCAATGACCCCCTCATTGGTGGCCTCCTTGGCTAC